AGGGCAGGAGGGACACAGATGATGGGAGCGTGTGAGGGAGCTGAGCACCATGTTCAAGAGCAGTGGCAGAAGGTAAGGAGCAGCTGGGGGCTGAAGAGTCAGGAGCAGGGTGGGTACCTGAGCAGACCCAGGCAAGGGGGTCAGGAGTGCAGACCTGGGTGCTGACGAGGCCTGGTGGGGGGGAAGGGCAGACACATTGTCCCTTTAGCAGCATGGCACCACGCAAAGGCTGGCCAAGGGTCAGTCCTTACCTGGCCTCTGTGTGTTCATTTTGAGCACCTCCTTGAAGAGCCATCTGATCTCAGTTTGTTCTGCCTCCTCCAGCGTCTCATGTCAATGTCCTTGTCTCTCTCTAGGGCACTTCCTGGTTGCAAGTCACCCTAATTCCAGGCTCACATCATTACCTCCCCGCCTCCATCTTGCCCAGCCCACTTCTAATCCATTCTCCATAAGTAAAGGTGGCTTGGGGCGGGGCTCAGTGGTATAGAACCTGCTCTCAGGGCGGAAGGCTCTGGGTTCAGTTCCCAGCACCAAGAGGAGTGGTGGTCTTTCCAAAGCTAATGTGTGCATGCACCTCCTCAGGAGAGTCATTGGGTGACTGCTCCAGTGGGCGGGCTGTGCCCTGTGCCCCCAACCCCCAAGACAAGGCTGGAGTTGCATGTCCCATGGTGTCACACACCCGCATGCTCAGTGGGCTTCTCCAGACCCAGACCCAGTGGGCACACCCTGAGAACTTCCCTGAATCACCCCACAGCCACCTGTGAGCGTCCCTGCCGATGTGCTGTTATTGTCCCCATTTTACAAACAAGGGAGCAGATGGGTAGGGGCTTTGCCTAAGGACACACAGCGTGCAACTTGATCCAACCTATCGAGCTGGGGTCCAAAACCCACCTACCTACCATGCAGCCTCTTTTTCACTTGTGACCCGGGCAAAGCCTGGCTAGTTCAACTGAGGGCAAGTAACTTTTGTGGGTCCCTGTGAGGGACCAGATGGTCTACTTGCTCAGTAAGTACTAAGTTCATTCTCCTTAGGCTGCCTGAAGAGTTAGCTTGAAACCATCAAATGGAAATGTGGCTACACTCATTGATTGACATGTGCTTTCTGAGCTCTGGCAATATGTCCAGGCACTGGGCTCAGTGCTGGAGACAGAATGGGGACTGGACTTCTGTCCTCTGCCCTCAAGGAGCCCACAGGTGTGACAAGCATTCAGAGGCTCCTAAGAAATGACACAAAACAAAACCCAGAGCATCGCTTCTCTGATTGCCCTGGGCCCAAAGCCCTCGTGGATTATATGTATCTTCCTTCTCCTAAAAGTAGCTGCCTGGTGCTCCTGAGACATGCCCTGGTGTACTGAGGCATGCCAGGAGGTAAGAAGGCACTTGCCCAGGAACCAGAGAGGTCCCGGGGCTACAGCCATCCCAGAGCCAGCGCTGCCATCTGCTGTCCACACAGAAGATGCGCCACACCCATCCCCAGGGCAGGCCGTTGGCTTCCTTCAGAGATGAGCCCTGAGCAGGGATTTGCCAAAGGTCGCTCACTGGGGCCCATCAGGACCAGAAACCAAGCTTGGGTTCCTGTGAAAGTGGAGGCATGTGGACTCTGACATGAGGAAGGTGCAGGCTCCAGACTACCATCCAGTTTCTTCCCACTTCCACCCGTCTCACTTGCCTTTCTTAAAAAAGGAATGTTAACTGACACAATGTAACTGTAGATCTCTATGGGCTCTGGGTGATATTCCAATACATGTGTACAATGTGTAATGATCACAGCAAGTGACAGGTCTATCCCCTAAGACATTTGTCATTTCTTTGTGTAGATAACATTCAAAGTCCTCTCCACTGGTTATTTTGAACTATTTAATTAATTATTGGCAGCTGGCTTACTCCTGCTACCCTCCTGGGTCTCTGTACCTGTCAATCATCCTCTCTCTCACCCCACCCTGCCCTCCCCAGCCTCTGGTCACCATTGTACCACTCTCTACCTCTAGGAGATCAATTTCTTTTAGCTCCTACATGTGAGAACATGCAGTATTTGCCTTTTGGTGCCTAAGTTATTCACTCAGTGTCCTCCAGTTCAGTCTATGTAGCTACAAATGGCAGAACTTCCTTCTGCTTTGTGGCTGAATGATGAGCCATTGGGTGTTCACACTTCATTTTCTTTATCCTTCCATGCATTTGTGGAGACCTTGGTTGACTCCATGTCTTGGCTGTCACATTTGTGGTCAGTCCTCAGGGAATTACACCACTGTGCTTCCAACGAGGACTGCCTGTCCCTGTCTGTCTTCTCCAGGCTTGTCCATCTTGGCTTTGTCTTGGACAGAAGCAAATAGAATGTGAAGAAGCGTTTGAAGTCCCGAGGGAAAGTGTTGGCTGGACAGGCACCCCCAGCAAGGGGTGTGCTCCTGGAAGACTTGGTCTCCTGCTAAGCTGGTCACTCTAGTGGGTGCCTGACACATGCTCTTCCTCCAGAAGCAGGGCCAGTGCTGGGGTGGGAGGAGGGCGCACTTCCAGGGCAGAGCAGCCATGCACAATGGACTTGCCTCTGTCTCCCAGGGCACAAGGGAAGCCACGTCAACCCTGCTCTCCTCTGGGCAAACACTGTCAAGAGCTTGACATCCCTTCTCGTACCTCCACCCACCCTCAGTGGCAGAGGGCACTATAGGAAGAATGCCTTTGCTTTTCCCAGGAACTAATGGCTAATGGGAGACTCAAGGGAAAAATGGACATCCTCAGATGACGTGGTCCACCCCAGTTGGGCCAGGCTGCCCTAGCCCACAGGCAGTAAGCAAAAGGAAGACTTCCTCTCATTTATCCCACAGATCACCTCCTACAAGTGGTCAGTGGAGACCTTAACCGAGCCCAGCCTCTAAAAAACATAGGTAAGTAGTGGACCCAGAAAGTGGGCAGGGACCAAAGAAAGACCTTTTCTTGCTTCCAAGGATGCCCAGAAGTTGGAGGAGTGCACATCTTGAGGCCAGGGGAGGTGCTACTGGAACAGACTGGAGAGTGGGCTGGGCCGACAGCGTGGGTCTCCCACGCCACGGGAAGTCCTTGGGGTCTTTGACCATTTATTCAGTGTCCTGGCCTTGGCTTTTTATGACCATGTCACAGAAATGGCCTGGCTTCAAGCACTGCAGCAGCGACCTAAACACCTGGGTCTGCATGTGCCCCGTTTCCCCTGTGGTCTAGGTAGACAGAACTTTGGAACAGCATGGAACAGGCTGAGTGACATCTGTCAGTCTTCCCTGTGGCCCTCAGAGTAGGCAGAGGTTAGGAATCGCCTCTGTTGCCTTTGTATCTCCACCTCCAACACTACTCAGTGCTCAGCGTGTGGTGCTTACTTGGATGAGCAAATGAGAGAAAGCAGGGGAGGAACAGCCTATAAAATGCTGGAGGCACTGACAAAGGAGAGGCCTCGACTTGCATTGGGGACAGTGTGCAGCTTCAGGACCACAGCTTGGTGTGCGAGTGTGTCTGATACTGATCTATGTCTACTCATCATGCTCCTCGGTGCTTTTCGCCCCCTGCCTTGCTGACACTCACATCCAGGCATGGGGATGGGAAAGCTTGAGAAGCACGTGGGATTGGAGTATGCTGGTGGCAGGGCTCCCTTCCCAGCCCTGAGCTCTGATTGCCCAGCCCTCCCTCCCCAACAGCCAGGCCTGCAGCCTCTGTGGCTGACCTTAGGGCTCCAGGGGACTCAGCTATGCTGTCCAGAGGACAAGCACACAGCCATGCTTCGGCATATGGGAAATAAAGATGCATGCTACTGTTTCTCAATTAAACACCCAACACAACACACACACACACAGCTTTGAGCATATAAAAATGCTCCAAATTATTAATAATCAAAATTATTACTATTGCAATTTTTTAAGGTTTTTTTTTGAGAATTTTAATACTTATTTTTTAGTTTTTGGCGGACACAACATCTTTGTTTGTATGTGGTGCTGAGGATCGAACCCAGGCTGCACGCATGTCAGGCGAGCCCGCTACTGTTTGAGCCACATCCCCAGCCCCTACTATTGCAATTTTTAAAAGCTAATTTCCCACTTGTTGATGCACATGGCTAGAGGGGCTGGCACATCCGCCTGGCTTTGGAAGCTATAGTCAGGTGATGCAAAAGTGTGTCTTTTCCAATCTCATCCTTAGAGACCATGATGAAAGTTTGTCATTTACAATTTTGTGCAACCTTAAAAAGATTTAGCAACTGGACATTTAGAAAAAAAAAACATTTTGAGGTTAATACATTAATTAAAAACATGTCTGTCACAACTCAGGATGCCACCCGCCTTGGTGCTGACATTTTCCCATATGATATGACCAGCCCGGGCTGGAAAACAGGCTGCAAAGCTCACAGGAGGTGGAGGTGTGTGGGTGGGTGGAGTTAGGAGAGTGAGCAGTACCCTGCAGCCCCTCTCAACCCTCTGGAAAGAAGAAACCAACAAGGGAACAGGAGCGTGCAGGAGGCGGGCAGCAGAGGAAGGTGGGCAAGGAGTCAGGGGCAGTTCTTGCCACCGCCTGCCTCCTCCTGGAGTGTCAGAAAGGGTTGTCCAGGATGTTGACTCTCATCAGGAATTTGTTCTTTTGAACATCACAGATGTTTACCTTGCCCAATAGGATTTTCTCCCAGGAGGGGAGGCTCAGCACCATTTGAAGCTACTGGTCCTCCAAGCTCTCCAAGGTGGAGTACCACCACTCCTGAGGGCACAGAGAATGGTGGGTTGGTGCTCTTGACCTGTGTGAGCATGGTGCATCTGATCCCAGGATGCTAAGGCCCTCCAGCTTTCCAAGTTGCTCGACAAGCGGACCTGTGGCCCACAGTAGCCCTGTGACATGGCCTTCTCCCTCTCTCTCCTCTCTCTCTCTTTCCACACACACACACACACACACACACACACACACACACACACACACACTTCATTCCCCTACTCAACAACACCAAATTTAAGGAGAGATATTAACTAGGTTTTTGCTTTGGAACAAAGCAACATGCAACATTCAAAGTTGGGAAACAAATGTAATGCAGAGTGGAAGAGGGAAGGAAGACAGAGTGGAGCCATGCTAGCAGGATTTGAGTGAGGGAGAGTCCACAGGGACATAAGGGGAAAAGGAGGTCACAAGCCTGATCCATGGACCTGCAGCCCCTTTGTGTGGGATCCCAGACAGGCTGTGATGGCCACAGGGGTAGAAGGGCAGTACGGCCCAATCCCTATGTTGGAACTTCACCCCAGGTGATGGTGTTGGGGAGCAGGGTCCTTGGGAGAAATGAGGCCATGAAGGCCCTGCCCTCATGGATGGAATTAGAGCCCTTAGACAGGGCAGGAGGGAGCCAAGCTTCCCCCCTGCACAGCTACCATGTGAGGATGCAGCCAAGGGCACCATTGGTGAAGAACAGGCCTGGCAGTCACCAGATCTGGCACCTTGATCTTGGACCTGCAGCTCCCAGACCATGAGCAGTAAATTCCTATTGTTTTAAGCCATGCAGGCTGCAGTGTTGTCTCAGCAGCCCGAGTGGACCAAGACAGGGGCCTCCCATGCTGGGGAGAGCCTGACTGAGAAGCTGTCCTGTGGGGCTTCCTGAGAGCAGCCCCTTGCAGCCTGCAAGTGGGGCTCCACACCTTCCTCTTCTTCAGCCAGCATTTCTCCAGCATGTTCACCTGTGTTTCCGAGAGCCTCAAGGCTTTGTTCAGGAACAGGTCGAAGTTCTGCCCATCTCCCATCAGAATGAAGACATAGGCCATCAGGTGGTAGAGTCGCGGGTAGAAGACTGGGCCAGTAGTGTTCTGAGCCACAAGACTCTCCAGGTTCTAAAGGAAAACAACAGAATGGTACAACCAGAGTCTGAAACAGCTCACTGACCACAAAGTAATTTCCTCCACAGATGGTTTGGGAACATTTTAAATATATGAGCAATCAAGGGAGAAACTGTGTTACCTACTAAGTATGGTAGATAGAATGGTAACATGAGGTAGAAGGCCGCCAAGGCCCACCCCAGACCACAGTGGCCTGCCAATAGTTTTCTGAAACAAGTGTTTTTTGGTAGATTTTTGGTAGAGATTGAAACTATGGCCTCACTTGTGCTAGGCAAGTGCTCTACCCTTGAGCCACATCCCCAATCTGTGACTACTTTGAAAACAAAACATCTTACTCTGATTATCAAAGCAGTACAAGTGAATGATTGAAAATTTAGGAGGAAAGTTGGCTCGTTCTGCACGTAAGGAGCTTGGAAATCACCACGTGATAAACGATTCGAGATCTGAAAAGACCAAAACCTGCCCAGCTCTTCTCAGATCTGTAGGAGAGGAGAGACACAGGAGAGACAGCCACCTGCAGATAGACAGGCGCACACAGGGCCTCCAGGGCAAGCTGCTGTGGGAAACAGTACCAGGGTAAGGGACCTGCACTACACCGGATGAGTTCAGAGACTCATCAGGGGCCATCTGGGGGTTAAAAACTCCAGGCAGAAGAAGTGGAGCAGGAAGCACCAGGGTCTGTCTCACACTCAGACAGCAGCTGCCTGGCAATCTGCAGGACTCAACTCTTTCAGAACTCCGGGGTCCTTGGAAGCTTTGCACGGGTCTGGGTTGGATGGTGAGTTGAAGCAAATTTTGGCCAACTTCAGCACTTAGCACAGTAGCAGCTGCCTGTCTCCTGCACCAGCCCCGCGGCAAGCAGCTGTGACATGTTCCTAAGTGACCTACATACAACTTGCTGAATCCAAGATGGACAAAAAGAACCCTGCCCCAGATACCTGGGCTCTTCACTCTGACCGCTGATTGCTGCTTTTGACAAAGAGGGACAGTCCCAGAGGCAAGCAGCTGGCAGGTAGTGCATCTCCTGCCATCATTACAAGCCCTCCTCTGGCTGCAGGGACATCCAGGGCACTGAAAGGCTGGTGAACCTCCCCTCTCTTCATTCTTCTCTCTCTCTCGATTGAGCATTCCAAAGCAGCTGCCTGTATGCAGAAAATTAGAAAGTGACTGTGCACACCCAAGGAAAGGCATAGGCTGAGAAAGACCAGAAAAGAGCTTCAGTGGGCCTTCCTGACCCAGGGCACAGAGACAGCCCAGAACAATGAAAGAGAAAAGCAAAAAATAGCAAAAAAAAAAAAAAGCAAATGCTGGGGATGAGAAAGAATATTATATCCATCAGAGCTACCACACTGTTATATGCAAATCTGTAATATCAGACACAGAGTTTAAATCAAAAACAGTTATAGGAGACAAAAGAGGAGTTTGGTCATTAAAAAGATGTTTCAAAAATAAATAAATAGTTAGATATAGATAGATAGATAGATAGATAGATGGATAAATAAATAAAAGAGGTTCCACACAGCAAGAGGAGGTTTATGCAAACCATCAAAATCACAAAGCAAGAACTGGCAGAACCGAGGTGGAGACAACCTAGAGGAAGAGTGGGAGACTGTAGGACTCCACTCTGGACAGAAGGGAGAAGAGCCAGAGGAGATCAGTGAGGAAATAGAGGACATAAGAAACTGGAAAGGCTCAACCACTGTGCACTTAGCAGGCAGAGTTCCAGCTCTGCAAAATGTAGAGTTATGGAGACAGATGGAGGAGATGGTGCTCGATAGCATTGCTGAACTGCACACTTGGAGTGGGCGGCTTTGTGCTGTGTGCATTTGACCACCATCAAAAACAGGGACAATAAATAAATTTGAAAAACTTACATTTTGAGAGTTTCACTCAAGGAGATTGACCAGGTTCTTGCAGCAAATATAGGGGCAGGGATTCCCTTATGCTTCCAGCAGGGAAAGGCAAAAAGGGATCATTTTGAAATATACCAGTGCTCTCAGAAGGACCTATGTAAGCAGTCTTGCCCCCAGGGGGTTCATCAGAGCAGTGGCCGACTGCCACACTCCTGTCTCCCCTCAGAGAGGCAACTGCACTGCACTTGTGAGGCTCAGGGTCCAGCTAAGCAGGCTCTATAAAGATTGAGCCTAGTCATGAGGCCACAGGACACTTCCTCTCCCAGACACCTTATACCACACCACTAAAGACCTTTTACACTGCTTCCTTGTACCTTGTACATCATGTCCAGCTATCAAGAAAACATTATACGGAAAAGGAAATCAACTTGAAGAGACAGAGCTAACAACAGAATCAGACATGGCAGGGATATTAGAATTGTCAATCAAGGAATTTGAAGCAACTATGATTAATATGAACTCTAATGGATAAAATAGATGGCAAGAAAAACAGAGATGGAAATCCTGAGAAAGAACCCAAAACAAGTGCTAGAGATTAATAAAAAAAGAAAATAAATGCAGAATGCCTTTGATGGGTTCACTGGCAGACTAGGAACAGCTGAAAAGAAACCTCAGGGATTCCAATAGAAAACTCCAAAACAGAAAAGAGAATAAAGACTTAGCAATTAGGGGCTGGGGATGTGGCTCAAGCAGTATCGCGCTCCCCTGGTATGCGTGCGGCCTGGGTTCGATCCTCAGCACCACATACAAAGATGTTGTGTCTGCCGAGAAGTAAAATAAACATTAAAAAATGTTTCTCTCTCTCTCTCTTAAAAAAAAAAAAAAGACTGAGGAACACAGAACAGAATGTCCAGGACTGTGGGAGAGCAGAATGTGTCTGTGTAGGGCAGACCTCAAATGGCTGTAGGTAGCCTCCTCCGTCAAAGCCTCCAGCAGGCTGCTTGTAGTATGCTGCCAAGGTCATGAACACCTTGATTCAGCAGAGGCATTCAAGGTCATACACAGGGCCTGTGAGGTAGGCCCACTCACGCAACCTGTGGACAATGTGCCTTCTTTGTCTGGCCTGCACCAAAAATAATAGCCTATGGAAATGGCCCAGGGAGTTGGCTAAATGGAATTGGCCAGAACTCAGTGGGGCTGGAGCCAGGCTGCCACCACCTCTGAATAAAGAAGGTCTGCTCTCCAGGATCCAGACTCTGCCCCCCAGGGTCTGAGCCTCGACCCAGCACTGTACCCTGTCCTTGCCCCGGGCTTCCATCCCTACTTCCTTCCTGAATCCAAAAGCCACGGTCTTCTTAGTATTTTAGGCCTTTGTTGTGATCCCAGCACGTCTGCTTGTTTTTGGCCTTGGCTGTCTTTTGTGAGAATGGGTTTCATCACTTTACTATTGATGGACCTTCACTTAATCACCTGCTCATTTTTCTGTCTGGGTTCTCACATATTGATCAGGTTGACCACAAGTGAGGAACACTTTCATCAGTACTCAATTCATCTCTAAAAGTGAGATTGACAGTTGACTCATGCGTCAGGTGATG